CGTTTACGAGTTATTTAAGAAAAACTTTAAAAAGGGACCTTTACACCCCCCCCCCCCTACCCGTTAGCTTCACCCCCATTCATCAATACTTTGAGTATGTTGTTTAAGACACCATTCCCTACAACTATGCCAAAAATCGCTTTTACACGAATTATTTCCCCTATTTTTCCTTCATTGAGTGGGCTATTAACCAAAAAAAGATAAAACTGTATAGGATATTTTGAAAAATAAATATTTTTACAATGCCAAAAATGTGTGAAGTGCCTTATTGCAAGAAAATTGGTGCACACCAATTCCCTAAGAACACTGAAGTAAAAAAAAAATGTGGCTTAAAGCTATAAGAAGACAAAACTTTAAGCCTAAAAAAAATTCGAGGTTATGTCGTAATCATTTTTAGAGACGGATTATCAAAAGACCAGCATTTATAAAGGTATATCTTTTGATTTTGTTTTATAATACGTTACACTACACATATGTACATTTTCCTTAACAATTTTGGTAATTTTCAGGTAATGAACATCAGCATCGTTACTTGAAAAAAACTGCTGCCCATCAGTGTTTGCATGGACTACGAAAGCTATTTCACAGGAAGGTCAAGCTCGAGAGGAACGATTATTAGCACGTAATATTTAAAATGCGCTTTTTGAGCAGGCGCACACTTCTGCGCCTATATCCAGACCTGAAGACTTAAATTTTGCTGAAGAATTTTGTACACAGGCTCTGGATATCGCAAGTGAACAGTGTAGTCAGGCTCTGGATATTGCTAGTGAACAGTGTCTAGAAGCAGAAAACCTTGAGGACTTAACTCCTGCCCACAATTTCAAGTTCGCAGTAACACTGACAAGTGTTATGTTAAAAATATTTTCTACAGATTTATTGTTAACTGATAATGAGTCACTCATGTTTTACACAGGATTAGAATCATACTCAAAATTTCAACTAGTGCTCAATACCCTCTTGCCAATGGCTAATAATCTTACATACCGCTGGAGTCAAGTAATTGGTGTGTCAATTGAGGATCAATTACTTATACTACTGATGAAGCTCAGACGCAATAAATCTGATTATGAAATAGCTAAAATGTTCAATATAAGCAAAACTGAGGTTTAAAACATAATAGTTACTTGGATTCACTTTGTACAGAAATTATGGTCAATGATTGATATTTGGCCTCGACAGGATTTAGTACATTACTACATACCTCAAATATTTAAAGATGAAAGTAGCAAAACGAGGATTATTATTGATGCAACAGAAGTGCCTATTGCTAAACCTAGCAATCCTATAACCCAGAGAGCCACTTACAGCAGTTATAAAAATACCAACACTATAAAGTTTTTGGTGGGCTCTACACCAGGCGGTCTCCTGTCTTATTGTCCTAAAGGTTATGCGGGAGCAACCAGTGACCGGCAAATGATTGAACGTAGCTCATTGTTACATTTGTGTGATGAAGGAGACAGTATAATGGCAGATAGAGGGTTCAATGTGCAAGACTTGTTTGCTCAAAAAAATATTGAAGTCAACATACCTACTTTCTTGAGAGGTAAATCACAGTTACCACTTGCAGTATTAAAAAATGATCAAAGACTTGCAAGTCAAAGGGTACACATAGAAAGGCTGATAGGCCTTAAAAAAACCTATAAAATACTTCAGACACCAATTGTCTCATTCTATGTTCCTTTGGCCTCAAAAATATTTTTCATTTGTTTTATGTTGTGTAATTTTAAGGAAAAGATTGTAAATAAAAAGACAAAGATGTAGTCACTCTTTTTGTTTATTCCTTGATAGTTAAATTATCAATATAGTCGGAAACTATTGTGCAGAGATGTATGTAGAAAGTGAAGACAGGTTTGTTAGTCAGTGCACAAAAACCACCATTATACATTATACCATATAAATAGGACAATCTTTATTATAGTTCTGATAAATATGTACAAATAAGAAATAAAAAATTGGAAATGGTTATGATGTTTTACTATTATCAAAAACTTCACCCTCTTTCTTTTAACAAGTTACTATTAATTTATTTTACTAAAAATCATTTAGTGTATAAAAATGTACAATAAATAGAAAGAATAGAATAGCATATTATTTATATATTTCTTATTGAAAGCCAATTTTTAGCTTTCATTCATTACATACTTTTTCTACTTACATTTATTAAACTTAACACTTATTTAAAAATAAAAGATTTAATATAAAAAAATTTAACACATTAAATTTTGTTTTTTATTAAATCATAGTTATTGTACAAATAGTTATTTAAAATTATGCCTTTAAAAAAATTATTATAAAAATCCAATTTTTCTAACATCTCTGAAATAAAATGATCATCTCTTGTGATATAAACAACTTTCATGTCTTTATATGTATAAATTATTAAATTGCAGTATATCCTATTTGTACAATACAACTGGCCCTGGATTTGATAATATATTGGACTAGTTTTTTTTAATAGCAGCTTTTTATTAAAAGAGTCATTTACCAGATAGGGCACAGTTGCTGCATATTGTTTCTCGTGGAATATGGACATTTTATTTCAATGATGGCGTTATCTCCCAGTAGACCATCCGGTGTAGCACCTAAATATGGTCTCTGCTTGCTAACAAATAACCCACAAAATTCAATATTTAATTCGTACTGAGACTGATACTTCTTTAGAGCTATTGGTTCATTCAAGATGCCATCTTTGCCTCTATGCCACTTCCAGCTGGACATTCGCAGTGGGATTCCTGAAGTGTTCCACTTTTATGAATTTTAACATCTACTTCATACTGTAAGGCTTTCATGGTCTTTTTACAATAGCCTTTCACAAAAGTAGAGTCACTAACAGTAGCTCTTGCAAGTATGAGGTATCGAGACTCATATAAGGATTTAGCCTTATCAAGTTTATTATCAACACTGTAACAAATAAAATATTAATATATATATTTGCATCTCAAACCTACAATCATTTTTTTATTATAGTGACTAACAACCTATATATATATATATATATATCCAACTTCAATGATTTGAACTGTATTATATAATGACAACATAACTGCCCAAACTCACTCTCTGTTCTACCCAAGGTTAGCTGGTAGAGAATGCCATATAGCATTAAGCTCGCCTTTTGTACAAATATTTGGTGCAATAAAGAATAAATTAATAAATAAATAAACTTCAAACAATGATAATCAGAAAAAAATATTTACTTATTATATTAGGTATTTTGTGTAATTTTATATCATTATTATGAAGAACAAACTTACCAGCAAAAATAATGTCTTATATGCATTTTTGTTTTTGTTAGAGGTGGTAACAAAGTACAGCTATTTATATCACGATATGTGTTGGACTCTTTGTTACATTCATAGGGGTGGTATTTGCCATAGTTGCCACGCTTGGCGAGCGGGTTGGCAACCGCAGTTTTTTTATTGTAATTTTGGCTATTATCAGGAAGATGCTGCTGCCCATCTCCTGCCTGTTTCCCTTTGTCGCCTTTTACGACACCCACGGGAGGATATGGGGTAGTGGTATTCTTGACCGCCACTACACGGCAACCACTACACGGCTGGCCGTATGAGGAAGCTCAAGGTCGCTCAGCGAGCTATGGAGAGGGCTATGCTCGGAGTTTCTCTGCGTGATAAACTTAGGAATGAGGATATCCGCAGTAGAACCAGAGTAACCGACATAGCCCAACGGATTAGTAAGCTGAAGTGGCAGTGGGCCGACCATATAGCTCGAAGAACCGACAACCGATGGGGAAGAAAAGTTCTCGAGTGGCAGCCTCGTACCGGTAGGCGAAGTGTAGGGCGTCCCCCCACGAGATGGAGTGACGATCTGGTAAGACATGCAGGAAGTCGATGGATGCAGGTGGCTCAGGACCGTGCTTTGTGGCATTCTTTGGGGGAGGCCTATGTTCAGCAGTGGACTTGTGAAGGGCTGTAATGATGATGATGATGTGTTGGACTCTGGAAGGTTCATTGTAAGACCATCTTCATCCTGATTGTCGGAGTTACCAAAATTAAAATTTTGATCATATAACTCTAATCTGAGAACAAATAAAATTTTATCTTTAAACGTCAGTATTATGCCTTGTGTAGTAACGCGTAAATATAACGAATTTTTAAGATAAGATCATACTTCTTTTTAAAGAGGTAAATAGTATAAATTCCGATAAAACGTGTTAAAGTAAAGTAAATAATTATGTTATGCATTCAAAGATATTTTAAAAATGAAGATATTATATATTTACCTTTCCACTAGATCTGCTTTCTTTCCTCGTAAAGACGCACCTCGCTTCTTTAGTTCAGATTTTAATTCAGATACCCGCCATGTCGAATACATAATGTTCGTATTTTATATGTTATAATTATAAACCTTTATTGAACTTAGTAATATAAATAAACACAAATCAAGCACGCGACTTTGACATTGACAGGTGAAAGCTATGCTGGTGCCCTCTAGGAAAAGTTATTACCTGCCAACCCCATTGCAAACGACGCCAACCAATGTAACTTTGACAGAATTACGCCCTTTTCATATGCACACGGCCACGGTACGGTCGCCGTGCCGTGTAAAGTAGTAATATATGACCAACAATGAGAACTTTCACATGGCACGGCGACCGTGCCGTGACCGCGTGTCAGCCGTCCTTATCCACTATAAGCACGGTTTTGACGCGGCAACCGTCTTTATAGTCTTGTATGGACTTGTATAGACGCGTTCACATGAACACCGGCGAGGTACGGCATTGCGAGCGCAAATGCCATTCGACAGGCAAATCATAGGGGAACGGACGGACGATTGTTGCAGAATGTCTGTCGAAATCGATGTTGATGTGTTGATCTCGCTAGTTGAAGCGCGTCCTACTTTATGGGATAAAACCATCGCGTCTTATAAAAACAGGAACGAGACAAAAGAAGCGTGGAAAGAAGTATGTATAGGATTAAATAGTAGTTTCGAAGAATTCGATGATAATGAAAAGAATAAGTTTGGTGAATTATTTTATTACATTATATTTTTGACATTTGCCAAGGGACCGCCCCTATATTTGATACAAAATAGTCACTCAATATGTTTCGTATATTGTTTGGTGTAAGCCCTCCGCGTGACTGGGTTTGTCTTAGGACATCTTCTAGTCCTGTAATAAAATCTGTGTCCTCCACCTGGTAACCATCTCGATCACGAACAAAGTTGTGTAGTACACCGCAAGCTTTGACGATCGCGACTGCAAAATCAGGTTTGACGTTAATTGGTCTGTGGAATATTCTCCATTTATAAGACAAGATGCCAAAGGTGCATTCTACATATCTGCGAGCTCTGCTTAGGCGGTAGTTAAACATTCTTTTTTTAATTGCAAGATTACATCCACCGTACGGACGAAGTAAATGTTGGTGAAGTGCAAATGCAAACTAGGAAATATGGCACTTCAACGTCTTGTATTCCGCTAATACATTTTTTAGTAGGTAGTTCATGTTCATTTCTTATGATTGATTTCCACAGCGATGATCTCTTATATATTGAAGAGTCGCAATCTTTACCGTAAATGGCAAATACCCCCCAATGACTAAAGCAACACACAGACGGCCCCCAGTCCCCGGCGGCCCCGCTATTCCTGGCTACGGTGGGGCGGTTACATAATAAATAAACTTGTTTCAATTATTTTATATTAAACATGTGACAGAATTTATGACCTGACTAGGTATATAGGGTAACTATTATAGCATTGAGTGTGCTACCATTTAGGTATTACATTTTATTAATTATAGGGACCGTGTAGTGGCGGTCAAGAATATCCACTACGCTATATCTTCCCGTGGGTGTCGTAAAAGGCGACAAAGGGAAACAGGCAGGAGATGGGCAGCAGCATCTACCTGATAATAGCCAAAATTACAATAAAAAAAAACTGCGGGTGCCAACCCGCTCGCCAAGCGTGGGAACTATGGAAATTTCCCCCCCTATGAAGAGAGTAACAAGGAGACGGCCCCCAGTCCCCGGCGGCCCCGCTATTCCTGGTTACGGTGGCGACCATGGTAACGGCGGGGCAGGGGGTGCTAAGAATCTCCGGTGGACGTTCGGTTGCCACCTTAGACGACTCGACCTGGCAACGTACAACGCACGCACCCTGAGGACTGACGAGAAGATCGTGGAGCTGGAAGAAGAGATAGACAAGTTGCGCCGGCATATTATAGGATTATCCGAAGTCCGAAGAGAGGGGGAGGACACGGTAATCCTCGAATCCGGCAACTTGCTCTATCACCGGGAGGGCGACCATCTGTCCCAAGGAGGTGTCGGATTTATCGTCCACAAGTCTCTCGTTAACAACGTTGTAAAAGATCGGGAGTGTGTCGACGAGGGTTGCGTACCTTATACTCAGAATCACCAAACGGTATTCGCTGAAGGTCATACAGGTTTACGCATCAACCTCGACACACCCCGATGAGGAGGTGGAGGAAATGTATGAGGATATCTCAATTTTTTTATTTTTTTTATTTATTTATTTAAGGACAGCCAGAGGTAATTACAATAATACATGTTCACAAAACATAATATATAAGCTTAATTTTTAAATGTAAAACCTATTAAAGGCAGCCACAACATGCTTCACAAGAAGAGTAACACTTTATAACATAAATTACAAAATATTAGAAACATAACCTTAAAATAAATCAAAAACCAAGAAATACCAAAAATATTTAAAAAAATATAATAACAGAGACACCTTAAAACAATACAGGCGAAAAAACACAATAATCAATTAAACCAAATAACAAAATTAATACATATCGAACTCCTAAATATTATCTTTTAAGTTCTGTAGCACTGTTTTTTTAAAAGAGGACAAAGAATTGCTAAAAATGTCCACAGAATCCGACATCAAATTCAGCATGCGTGACATTCTAACTAAACTATTGTTATGACCTAGATTAGATTTAGAAGGAAATGGATAGAACAAAGGTACAGATTTACGCGGATAACGCCTTGGTACTTTAAATTTTATTTTTCGCAATAGCTCAGCGCTGTCCGTAGTTCCGCGCACTATTTTATAAAACATTACCATGTCTAGATACTTTCTTCGGTTTGACAAGCTGTCAACGCCGAAGAATTTTAACTTCTCATTATATCCGGCAAGTTTTTTGTCATTTATATTACTACAATAAGCTAGATTCCTCATAAACCGTTTTTGTATCCTTTCTATACGTAGTTGATGGACTTTGTATTGTGGTGACCATTTTACGCTCCCATATTCTATTATGCTGCGGACATAGGTATTAAATAATATTTTTTTAGTTGTGATGTTCTTAAAGGTTTTACTGTTTCTTAATATGAAGCCTAAAGTCCTTGAAGCTTTCTCTATCATGCGGTCCATTTGTGGAATAAAAGTCAGTTTAGAATCCAAAAAAATGCCCAAATCCTTAATAAGATCCACAATCTGTAATTCTTCCTTATTTATTTTATATTTCATTTTAAATGGAGATAATTTACGTGTGAAAGAGATTTGATAACATTTAGTTGGATTGAGCTGCACATTATTAATGCTACACCAATTTACTAGACCATCAATATCATCTTGTAAAAATTGTGAATCATTGGAACAATTAATCACTCTAGCTATCTTTAAGTCATCTGCAAATAATAGGACCTTACTATTTCTTATTTGTTGATCCAAATCATTAATGAACACGTTAAATAGCCACGGCCCCAGGTGAGAACCTTGTGGAACGCCAGAACTGGATATATAGTTATCAGACCTGTAACCGTTTAGTACTACATAGTTAGTTCGACCACGTAGATACGACTCAAACCAACCAACCATAGACCCACAAAAACCGTAATTAGATAATTTATGCAATAGAGTTCGATGGCACACTCTGTCGAATGCTTTAGAAAAGTCTGTGTATATAGCATCTACTTGAAGTTGAGTGTCGACTTTTTCTGTTAAGAAACCTACATAAGATATTAAATTCGTTATTGTTGAGCGATTTTTAACAAATCCATGTTGGTTTTCAGAGAGGTAGGGCTTAAAATAGCTAGATAAATAAGGATAAACTACGGCCTCAAATATCTTCGAAAAAGCTGACAATATAGATATTGGTCGATAATTAATAACATTTTTACTATCGCCGTTTTTGAATACTGGGACGACTTTCGTTATTTTCCATTTTTCTGGAAATACACCTGATCGCAATGATTCGTTGAAAATTATGGTTAAGGGCTTGCTAAGAGAACAAGCACAAATATTTATAAAAACTGGATGAATTCTATCCGGACCAGCTCCTTTATTTTTATCAAGTCTTTTTAAATACTTGTAAACTGTTTTTTTGTGGGATGTATAAGGAGCTAAAACAATTAGATGAATTTGTGATGGAATTATTAATGCTATTGGATGGTATGGGGACTGTGGCATTGGTATAAATGGACGAAAAATGAGTTGCAAAGAGGTCACATATCTTCGACCCCTCCGAACATATCTTGTTATTAAGGTTCATAGTTAATGGATATTGATTTACAAAATTACGCTTATTTTTAATGTAAGACCAAAAATATATAGGATCGTTGCCTATGCTACTTTCAATTTTAGAAATATATTCCTGATAACAAAGTTTTGTATAAGTTTTGCAGCGTTTGCTTAATAATTGTAGCGATATTTCATCAAGCGGATTTTTATAAATTTTATATCTATGCAGGAGTGTTCTTTTCTCATTTATTATTCTTATTAAACCTTTATTGAACCAGTGTGGATATTTTAAACTGCGGGGCTTTGATTTTGGAATATACTTTTCTATTGTCTTATTAAGTATATCATAAAATATATTGATCATCTCAATAACATCATTACAATCAGCAAATTCAAGAGACCAGTTTATATTGTTAAGTGATGCCTTAATATTGTTATAATCTGCTTTAAAAAAGTTGTATTTAGTTTGCGATATATTTGATTTAAGTCCCGTCTGTGCATTAAAGGCAAAATATATGTCGAAAGGTGGATGGTAATGGTCAGTTTGGACTAAGCTATGAACTGAATACAGAACTTTAATATCTTTTATATTGGATAATACGAGATCAAGAACTTTATCATTTTTATTCTTTACATTATTATATTGTTTTAAGTCATTAAGAGATGAAAAATCTATTAACGTTTGGCCTAAGTTAGAGGCGCAACGAATTGGACTGCATGTCCAGTCAATATTGCTTAAATTAAAATCACCTAAGAGACACACATTTTCTAATCCTTCAGATACTCTATTAAAATTGTCTGTAAAATGTTTTAAAATAGTATGATTCACGGGGGGAGGCAGGTATACCGCACAAATCGTCATTTTGAATGTCGAGGATTCTATTTTTATCCATAAATCCTCACATTTACTCTCAAACCCAACTAGCCTAGTAGATTTTAGCCTGTTAGAGACAGCTATTAATACACCGCCACCCTCCTTTGAACCATGAAATCCAGAGCTTTCGCGATCACGTCTATAAATACTATAGCGATTGTCGAGGACCTCAGCATTATTAATAGATTGGTTTAACCAAGTTTCAGTTAATATTATAATCTCATAATCAGCGCAGAGAGCATTACAAAAGAGATCATGTGTTTTGGTTCGGATTCCGCGGACGTTCTGGTAATATACAGATATAACATTAGAAGTCTGAGAACATGCACAATTAGCAAAGACAACCTACTCTAAATTTTCCAAACTACTCATATCTCTTATGTATATATATGGCGAAGTATCCGTCTTCCGCATGAAGATCTTGCCCTGCTTGATCCACACAAACTTGTAGCTTTTCTCTTTGGCTTTAAGGCGAGCAGCGGCATGGATTTTCTTGTTTAATGGAGAAAGATGTTCTGTTACGAACACGGGCGTCTTGCCAGCTATACCGATATGGCGCGTATTGATTTTTTCGTTAGAATTAGCCTTATTAAACTTTATTATCTTGGCTAAAAAGTTGTCCCTCAAACGAGGCGTAGCAAGTTTAACAATAATAGATCTTGGACGGCCGCTCTTTAAATCCATCTTTGCTACACGTGTACATACATGGATGTCAGCTTCTTTGATATCACAAGAAACGGTTTTGGCAAGTTGTAAGACTATGGTGAAAAGGTTTTCATTTTTATTCTCTGGTACACATTGTATTTCAATATTTTTGGACCGACTATGCTGTTCTATAGTTTGCAGTCTAGCTGTGATGTCTCTGGTAGTATCAACCATGGATTGGTATTCTTTACGAATTTCAGATAAATTTTGCAGGTGCATGTCTAAGTTCTTCTTAATGGTATCATATTCGTCGTTTAAAAATGCTATAGCCTTTTCAGTTGCTTCTATCGTGCTTTCGAAGGAATGTATTTCTTCCTTAACCATATCTCTAATAATGTGTTTGAATTTATCTATCAACGAATTTTGAACAAGCTCCAGTTCTTCTCTTATTATGTTTCTTATATCGGTGGAAGTGAGAGATGATTGTGGTGACATTTCTCTGCGTCGCATTGTGACATTTTGAGCGCTGTCACTAATAGTGGGTGGGGAATATGCGGCAGTAGCACCGCGTAATGGTGTATTAGAGTTGTCACCTCCTCTCTTCCTAGCAACTTTACAATCTGGACATTCCCAGGTATTTATGGTGCTCCCAGTGCTTTTATCAGAAGAAGCAATACCGACACACAAATTGTGAAAATTTTTAAAGCAGTATATGCATTTGAGGTATACGTTATCTTCAATAAATTTCGGACACGCCGCACAAGATAATAAATTATTTTTTTTAATTTCTCCTCTTGTTTTAGGCATAGTTGTAATAAATATTTTTTCCTACTATAGTTTTTGAACAATTCCTCACGGAAAAATAAATTAAAAAAAAAACAATAAAAAATATTTAGTAGTACCAAAAAGAAACAAAATCCAATAATTGTTACAACGTAGACTTGAACCCCGGATTATAGAACTTACTCTGGGCGGTCAAAGCCGTTATAACATTAGGCCAAACGTTGCATTATAATAGTGCTTAAAATAATGACTCAAATAGAAACGGGTGATGTAGTTATTAGGAGTAGTCCGAAGGTCAATTTTTTATATACAATTTAGCACTACCTACTAAATCCAAAGATTTTTATCACTATGTTTCACTCAACACAAATTTAAACTGTTATTAATTCGTCAATTTCAGCACTGTTTATAATATTATTTGTTTAAAAAAGTTAGTTTGTTGTTTAGAATTTTGAAATAACACAGAACAAATTAAACATTTGAGATTAGATACTTGTTTTCAATTTATTTTCGATAAGGCTACCTTTCGTGACGTTGACACTGACACCTTTTTTTGTATGTCACATCTCTAGAGCCATGCATTCCTCCAAAACCCAATATACGGTGTTAATGGGAGACTTCAATGCAAAACTAGGCACAAGAGAGAACGGTGAGCTGAAAGTAGGGAAATTTGGAATAGGGCAACGGAACCCAAGGGGCCAGCACCTGGCCGACTTCATGGAGAAAGAGGGACTCTTTATGATGAACTCTTTCTTCCAGAAGCGGCTCCACAGGAAGTGGACCTGGTCGAGCCCCGACGGTTCGACAAAAAATGAGATTGACTTCATTATGACGACCAGACGACAACTGTTCAGTGATGTCTCCGTGATCGCGAGGGTGAAAACTGGTAGCGATCACCGAATGGTTAGAGGCACAATGAATCTAAACGTTAAGTTGGAGAGGTCTCGTGTAATGAAGTCAACGCTCCGTCCCTCTCGTGCTCTGTTCCAAAGTACCGAAATTTTCAGCTTGAGTTACAAAACCGTTTTCAGTGCCTAGAAGACTGCAATGAAGTGGACGATATGAATGACAAGCTCGTGGAAACTGTCCATGCGGTCGGAGCTAAGTTCTGCAAGACCCGCCGCAGAAGAACACAAAAACTCTCCGATCACACTCTTAATCTCATGGCTGTTAGACGGGAGATGAAGCTACATTCTTCAACAGACTTGACAGCATACAGGCATCTGAACAAACAGATCTCCAAATGCATGCGGCGGGACTTACGCAACTTCAATACAGCTCGTATTGAAGAACCGATCGAGCGGAACCAAGGCTCCAAAGTCTTTGCCAGAGATCTGTCTGCCAGAAAGAGCCAACTGTCAAAGCTGAAGACAGAATGTGGCAGCATCGTTTCCGGGACACCTGAGATTTTGAGTGAGATTGAGAGGTTCTATGGGCAGCTGTACACGTCATCGTTGGAGCCACACGCAAGTGTGAGTAACGATCCAAGAGCGAGTCTCATCCGACACTATTACGAAGATATCCCGGACGTCAGTCTGAGCGAGATTAGAATGGCTCTCCAGCACCTTAAAAACGGTAAGGCCCCAGGCGAGGATGGAATTACAGCGGAGCTTCTGAAAGCGGGTGGAAGACCGGTACTGGAAGTCCTTCAGAGGCTCTTTAATTCCGTCCTCCATGGAATTACACCGGAGGCGTGGAGCAGAAGTGCGGTGGTCTTGTTCTTCAAGAAAGGTGACAACGCTCTCTTGAAGAACTATAGACCGATTTTCCTTCTGAGCCGCGTCTACGTGCTGTTTTCGAGAGTCATTATGAATCGTCTCGCGCGCAGACTTGACGACTTCCAGCCTCCCGAACAAGCGGGTTTCCGAAAGGGCTTTAGCACCATAGACCACATACATACCCTTCGGCAAATTGTACAGAAGTCCGAAGAGTACAATTTGCCACTATGTCTGGGCGTATGTGGACTATGAGAAAGCCTTTGATTCCGTCGAAATTTGGGCGGTGCTGCAATCCCTTCAGCGGTGCCAAGTTGACTGTCGGTATATCGAAGTGTTGAAGTGCTTGTACAGTAGGGCTACGATGGCTATCCGAGTACAGAACCAGAGTACGAAACCTATCCAATTGCAGAGAGGTGTAAGACAGGGTGACGTCATATCCCCGAAACTCTTCACCGCTGCATTGGAAGACGTTTTCAAGTTTCTGGACTGGAAAGAATCAATGGCGAGTACATCACTCACCTTCGATTTGCCGACGATATAGTCCTTATGGCAGAATCGCTGGAGGACCTAAGCACTATGCTCAATGACATCAATAGTGTCTCCCAACGGATAGGTCTTAAGATGAACATGGACAAAACAAAGATTATGTTTAATGTCCATGTCACACCTATGCCAGTAGTTGTTGGGAGCACTAAGCTCGAAGTTGTTGACGAGTATGTTTACCTGGGACAAATAGTCCGACTAGGTAAGTCCAACTTCGACCGAGAGGTCAATCGACGGATTCAACTCGGCTGGGCAGCGTTCGGGAAGCTACGACACATTTTCTCGTCAGACATACCTCAAAACCTTAAAACGAAATTGTCCAACCAGTGCGTATTGCCAGTGATGACTTCCGCAACTGAGACGTGGTCCTTCACACCTGGCCGTAT